AGGAGTTTTACTGGTAAATGTAAATGATTAGTTATATTTCTTAGGACATAAGTAACAATGGAACCAAATTTACCACATTGTACTTTTTCAACGTTCTTCATTTTGAGATATATTTGATGCTTCTGACGTATCATGTTACATGTCGCGTGAAGTTAAGCGGAAATAACCAATATTTGACGAATTCATTTGGGTTTTAGAAAGATCATCCAACAAAAAAGAGTTGAAAGGCGTTTAAGATGCAGGTCAATTGTTTTCATCTTCTCACGTTTGGAATGACCGTTCCAGGTTTCGCAGAAACAATTTATAGCGTTAAAGGTCTTTTTTTTTCCAGAAAATTTTAATTTTGATCATTTATATTTCCCGGCAAGGAAGAAATCAAGGAGAAAAATTGGCTACAATTCCAAACGTCGGTAACAATGTAGATAATTGAAATTTTCATTTAAAAAAAACGCTCATTTATTGATCAGTACAAGTAAAATTCGCCACCAATTCGCCGATCTAAAAAAAAGTAACAAAATGACCACGTAACACTTCACGTGTTCAGATATATCCGAAATAATAGTTAAGGCAAAGAGGGACGCCGAGTTGTATTATCAGGGAAAATTTTAGGTTGATTAAAGAAGTATACCCAAAGATATAGCTGCACAACTATAATTAATTACCCTTCACTTTTCTGACCCTGGCTTTAAACTGCTTGGGATTCTGTCAGTTAATCACACACTTACATTGTTTGGCTTCCGTTTGTGAGAGTGTCTCTGCACAGTGTGTTGAAACGTTTCGTCGATTTATTCTAAAAGATCGAAGAAACCTAAACACCCCGTACAGAGAACAGCTCAGTTGCAGAAGAAAAAAAGCCAAACAAAAAAAAAATTGATTTAAGGGTAAATTTCGATACTATTAAAGCTCTAACATGGCGCCGAGGTTTAGAGAAATTAAACAAAATAATTTGTTTGTATTAGGACCTCAATCTTTATTTGATTTCTTAGTTACGTGTTCTTTCCGTAAGCCTGAGAGCCACGTTAGAATTATAATATTTCAAAAGTGGCTTGTTAATATTTTTGAATTCATTAAGTTCTACGACTGTTGTGTGATTCTTGTGGTATCGTCTTATCAACATATTTCTTCGAGG